TACCGCGAGAAGACAGAGAGAGAATATATTTATACGAGGCATGCAAAACAGAATGACAAATAAAGTACAGCAGAGAACAGAAAAATAATGATTTTCATATATATATACGACGAAAGATGACGTCCTGAAAAATACTAACGGATTGCAGCAAGAATCGAACGTACTGAATGCTCTCATAGGAGAGACAGTTAAAACAGGATGTATACATACTCTTAATTTTTACCTGCGTCTAAATAATGAATAATTGATTCGTAGTGAGGAATATATACTTAATCTGCTTTATTTATTAATTATCTGTATTTTTATACGTTCCAGAATAGATTATATGTTTGAGTAACTGTCAATCGTATTTGAGAATCGTATACAGAAAACGATGAGAGTTGAAATTTCTAGAAAATTTAGAAATGAAGCAAAACGCTGTACAGACCTTACTATCAAAAATATTCGCTTGTTCTTTTTGTTCAAAAGTGAAGCAATTTAGCATAAACGTATGATGACCACTAACAGTGAAAGATTAACCAAAGGCCAAGAATTTCAAACGCTTTAGTATATTAATCAACGACCTACTAAAACAAAAAACATATCAACTTAGCATCTTGTCCTACATCCTACATGTCCCAATATACAATAACTATATTTCAATTCAAACAGTATTATATAATAAACGATTGAGGCTAACACCACTCGTTATATACAAATAACCACAGTATATCATCTTCTCTACTTCGTTCCTTCTTTTCTATTCATTCTTTTAGTATATTATTCATCAATACATTGACTCTTCTTTCTTCCTCTTAAGCCAAAGATACTCATCTTCGTATTCACCATTCATAAAGAAATTCATCTGGTGTTTTCTTCTTCCTCCTTCTAATATTAACTTTGTTTTTCGAAATAAAATTTATTTCTTCTTCCATTCCACCCATAAAGATATACTTTCATTGTATTTCAATGGCCGCTTTTATTAATTTTATATTTTACACGTCACTATCGATGATTTTGTCTACCTATTTCAGATAGGTACAAAAGACTACAACATTAATCATAGTATACATTTGTACACTATTCTAATATCCTTCTCCCTTCTTAGTATGACCAGTTTTCTACTTCAATTAAGACGAATCAAATGGAACATCCCCACGTTCACACAACAAACATTCACGTAACATTTCTACTCGCAGAATTCCGAACTAATCCATTAACGAGAACCACCGCGAAAATACGACGGAATATTCAACATTAGTCAGATGAAACCAGAGATACTGAATAATTTTCAATATATCAAGACCCGTTCAAAACACTGACACTCGTATACCTGTGCAGTGAAACACACGACGTTCGAACGTAACAGACACTATAACTCAAAAAAGTACTTTCTTGCTTCTAATCTTCAATTATAGACACATATTTTCAAAAAAACATTCATTCATACTAATGTTAAAACTTGAAAGAAAAAAAAGTAAACCTCTGATGTCTAGTTTCTCATCGTGATATCGAACTATAGCAGTATATATATTGGATATACATACTCTATTGATACATATGTTAAAATTTTAAAGAAAAAAAAGTAAATTTTTGATATCTGGTTTCTTGCTAGAAAGTTGACGTTTACATAGGGTAGATTTCTGTTTTATTCATGGAAAATCAGAAATCAGAATTCAGACAATTAATGAAAACTGGTAATAATTTAAGAATTGCCATGACTTCAAGTAAAAGTCATATTCTTTTGTTTAGCATTAAATTCGACAGTGGACGAAATGAGAACAAACGTCTCATCAGCCAGATCTAGGTTTGGAAAACATGATTTTTCAGTAATGCATCCCAACGAACCGGCAGGTATTAGTTCTAAGCTTTTTTCTTGTGAAAGACAGACGTAATAACATTGAAAAGGTAATAGAACCATCGAGCACAGAATTTTATATCTATTCATGTAAACTATTTTATTTTTGGCATCAAATTTAATTAGCATAGCGTTACATAAATCTATTCCTGTCTGCAAAAAAAGTGTGAGATCGCAGTTGAACGAATGATTATTGCTTAATTGTCTGTATATTGTGCAAACAAGGTAATTTCGTTCGCAAAACAAAGTGATCAATTTTGTAGAACAAATCTCTACGTCGAAGAAGCTCAAAGACAGATTTTAGCATTACTTTAAAATGCCCCAAAGGCAGATAACAAAAGTGGTCAGTTTTATCTTCGTCAGCCATTATTATGTAATAAAACTAAAAAGTTTATTATACCCTTCGTAGATGAAATTTGACAAAAATGCTTCAGTCTATGTTAGTGTGACTCTTGTCTAAATACACTTTCGGTTTTAAAATTTATTTATATCAAACAAAATGTCTTTTCATTTCAAATCTGTTGTATTTTAAGAAAAAAAATATAAAAAAATAATATCGATTAATTTTGTATACATCATAGAAAAGTCGATGATAATTTAGTAACAGAAATCGATCGTTTTTTTAATTTCGAACAAAAAGCATATAATAAAGATGTTCATTTCTAAATCTGGAACGAGTGTTGAAGTATGTCGGGTGAAAATGTTGACTCCTAACCCTTGCCAAGATCGTGATAGGCGCCTTAACAACGTCCCATCTGTCCATCATAGAATCTGCAAGACATTGTTAATATTTGGTTGAAGACCGTATATCAATAACATTTCGTTCTAATCTATGAACTAGTTCTTTATTAGATCTCTGGTGGATTAAGTAAAAAAAAAATGTTGGAGACATATGACCGAAAATAGATAGAATAATACAATCTATCTGTAATTAACAAGAGCAGTTACATCGTGTCTGACATTTGAATTCTACAGAGGTAGTGTCAATAGTGTTTTATGTAGTACATGATATAGGAGTCCGAAGCAGTCGACATTTGGAGATGTCACGATGTTCTGCAAAGTGGTAGGAGTGTTACACGTCTGACAACTCCCCTCACCCGATCAGGCCACCATTGATACTACAGCAAATTTATGATGAAAGATAGTACCCATGTCATCACAATCACGTAGGTTTCGACGATGCATTGCAATTGATTCATGACTTTTCCAAAACAACGATGTAATAATCATTTCTATAAAAATTATTTATATATTTTACGCAGGGCATTTTAGGTTAGAATTTGAGTATTTCGTATTGCGATTTGCTATACTACTGGATTCAAGTTTCCGTTTATTAATGAAGTGAAAAGCCTAAAAGAATTTTTGATATGTTGGATGTTACTTTAAATGTTACTCAGCATGCCGGAGAATATCATAAACAAGCTTTCAAGAAATGATTACATGAATTAAATGAATATAAAACTATTTCTTTAGAAAAAGAAAACAAATAAAATTACAAATCATTTCTAAAACAAGAACAAATCTCTTATCACAGTTTTCAACAGGTCGAATCTTCCTCGGCTGTTGTCAATGATTTATTTGTTAAATTGGGTTTGCTTTTGCCAATCATAGACCCGCTAATGTTCATTAGTTTCATGAAAGCCGTTGACTCTAAATGAATCCTGACAAATAGTCGAATGAAAATTTTTTTTTTATAGGAGAAAATATATAATCAATTAAAAGTCTTTTTGTTTAGCAGTTACGTTTTTATCCTTAGCTTAGGAAATTTGATCTGACAGAAGGTTGAAATAAATTTTAGTCGTAACTTTGTATAACCTTTTTTTTATAGAAATAATTCATATTTGGCTCCAATTTGACTTGACTTGAGTCAAAAAACCGCTAACTAGCCGATCTCTGCAAATATATGTGTTACACAAAGTTGATGTTCAGACAAAATTACCATACTTTTTAAAAGGTTTTTAAAAAACCGTAAAAGATGAGAAGAATGGATCTCATATATTTATATTATGATTAATTGTAATTGAAATTTAGCTGATTCAAACATGTTGTAGAATCCGTGCGTGTATTCAATTGTCAAGTTTTATTGACTTATGTTCTACGCAGAAACACAATCAAAGATTTTTCAACTTATATATTCTCTTTAGTAGAATAATAAATGTGTTGATTTACTTATTAATAAGAATACCTCAGAACACAATATAATGATATCGAAGCAAAAGGAGTCATTTATGCATACATTTACAATATGAATAAGTGAAAATAAATACTCTGTCTAGTTGAAAACAATAAGTGCGTGTTAGGTTTTCTTAATGCAAATGAAAATTAGGTTTTATTTTTAAATAAAAGAAAATTACTCTATAGTTTTGCTTCTCAATTAAAAATGACTTCGCCCTAAGTTTAAGATTTTGCTTGAGTTTCAGGTTTGCCTAAAATATCAATTTTAGACTAAGCTGACTAAATATATAATTCTAATATTGAACCAATAAGTCTTTATAGATCTAATATGAATACAAAATATTTTTGTCTAAGCCAGTTTCATTGATTCATATCATTCGAAAGCATTATCATCTCTCATCAATGACAGAAAATACAAAAATTTTTTTTTATTTGCTTTGTTTTTCAAGCAATTAATATAACATTAAAAAACTCACCATTCCTGATTTGCACTATTTGCTTTTTTTTTAATTAAGAACTTCGCGCACAAAAAAACAAAAAAGCAGCACAAATATGTGTATGTAAAACACAAGAAAAAACAAAGGCATTTTTTGTGCACGTATACATACATAAGAAATAGAAAGCTAACAAACAGACAAACAAAAAAACTGAAAAACCGAATAGACAATTCACTGTTTGTACTAATGTGCAGAAAAAGAATCAAGTTAAAGAAAACGAACAAACAATAATACTTTATCAATCAAAGAATAAACAATATAGCATTACTGTTGCCGAATTAAATAGACATATTATTATGTACATAAATAAAAGAATAATACTTATGCATGCGAAAGACAACACAAAGGGCTTTTAAAACCAAGAAAAAAAAAATAACCCGAACATAAATTCCTGATGAATCGGTGGGATCGGGATAGAAAGAACGAATAAAATATAAATTATTTTTGTTTTCGATTTTAGTGTTTTTTTTCATTAAAAAACAACAAACATTCTATGAAGCTACAGGTGTCTCATGAGTTAAATGAAATAATTCTAAAATACTCTTTTTTAATTGATTCACATTATATTCAATAATAGCTTGTTTTGTAAGTGCTTCTTCACGTAGAACACATATTAATGCAAGATGACGATTAATTTCTTTGAGATAGAGTGCTCGACCACCAGTTAATTTTATAACACTTGATGACATTGAATCAAATACATTTGATGTAGGTTCATTAATTTCATCAGTTATTGACGAACAAGAAGTTTTCACCGGTGTTGTACTTAAGGAGCCTAATACATCAAAAAAGATTTGCATACTTCGTTTTTTTAGAAAATTATTTCAATATCTTACCATTCGTATATGAAGTCGTTGATTCATGAATACCATTCGGAACATGTTCATCCTTATCATCATCTTCAGGTTCAAGATTTTCTGCAGATTGTTCATCATTTATTATTCCATCATCATACACGTCATCTTCAATTGTTTCAACAACATTACCATCTGGTTGTCCATATATTTGACTCATATTAATTAATAAATCAATCATATCACAACATAATTCATACATCTTAACAAATAAAATAAATCATTAAGATTTTTTTTTCAAAGAAATTTTAACTTACTTGCATGTCAGTTGGTGATGAATCAGTTGCAATACTTATTTTTGTTTGTATATCAAATAAAAATGCTTGTTCCATATTTGATGCTGATATAAGATAATTGAGCAAATCTTCTAAATGATTAAATTGTGGTAATAATTTTTGTATTACTTTTGAAAATGCTTCAAATACTGAATGATCAAATATTGATGTTAAATGAAAATTGATTAATATATTTTGAGAATTTGGATTCGATCCAAATGATGTTAATGGCCATGAATCTGTTCCACCATTTAAATCAGCAAAACGATCTCGTACCTAAAAAGAAAAATGAAAATTAATTCAGATTTCAATAGGATATCGTGTATGCATGCGACCTTGTCTCTATGTGAACAACAATAATGAAAAAGAAAGATATTAGAAAGGCTTATTCAGATCAACCAATTGACCTGTAAGAACTTTCATCTTCACTTGTATGACTTTGTAAGATCAGATAAAAACTGTAGTAAATATTGTAGCCTGAGAAATCTTATGCTAAAGTGGCAATCTCTTCAAATGTCACATTGCTTTCCTGCCGAGACAATGTTTATTTCATGCGTAATAGAAAATTGTAGAATAGTTTGAATTTTCGGACCATCATTTTTGAGATATCAAAATTTTACTGTCTTTTTCAATAATAAGCTGTGGTCTCACTCAAGTCACGTGAGTTTCGACTTGAAACTTTGCACAAGCAAAGTTCTTGAGGAGATGAGTTGATCATGCAAGTTTTAACTTTTCTATTATTCTCTTTCTGAACATGTAAAATTACTTCTACGAATGAGAGAATTCTGAATATTGAGTATCTCAAAATAGGAGATACTAGAAAAGTTACAACTTTCCCAATGAACTATATTTATTGAGAAATCTGTTTCTGCAAAGTTTCAAGTCGAAACTCTCAGGTAACCTGACGAGGCCATACAGCTTTTTGTTGAAAAACTCAGTAAAATTTCAATATCTCAAGAACGAAAACCGGAAAAGCAAACCATTCTAGACTTATCCAATAATTACTAAATGAATATTGGCTTTATTGAAAAGCAATCTGATACTAGGAGAAGTTCTCTTGTAACTTGTCTTATAAGAGTGTTGAGAGATCTTGCTGCCTTGTGAAATATCACTATAAGATCATAGGGTATCTCATGTGACATTATGATCTTTTGACAATCTTACAGTACGACTTAGTATTAGTTTCTGAGTACAATTTTTTGTATGACTTTATCTGATATTACACAAGACTTTACGTCTGATATTTGAGTCATATGTCTGTCAGATTAGTAATAAGTGGAAAAGAAAAGCAATGGGATCCGGATTCGTAGCTTTTTACTTAAGTATTTAATTATTAGACTGGCCATAAATCTCAGTGAGAGAGGATATAAAATGCTAGCCCTTCTCATATTTTGGCTATGTCCTCAAAATCTAACAAATATTATCATAGGTTTCGTCGAAAAAAAAAACTATTAGTTTCTCGTACTTCTGAAAATTATCGAAAGTTAAAAGATGAACGATGAGCAAAATCAAAAGTCGAAACAATTATCATCATTAATCTCATTGGTTTACTGATAAGATATCTCTTCATGTTCATGAGCAGCTATTGAACTCAGTATTTTGATTAGTGTTTCACTAAGGTTTTTCTATTTATATGATGAAATAGAAACAAGAATAAATACTCATCATTTCATCGTGTTCTTGTAGAGATCAAAAAGGTTAAGCGAACATATTTATTATTTTCGAAAATTTCATTGAATACATAAGAAAAGCAAAAAAAACACGTATCCATGATAGGACAATCTTTAACCATCGCTACAGGGAACTATGTCAGGAATGCAATAATTACTATGATTTTTATAACAGTAACACATTAATCCTTATCTAAGAATATATGATAAATCTATCATTGAGATAAGTGTGAATAATAGATTTACTACGCAAAAAATTATCATTAGTGGTATATCACATTAAGCCTTCGTATATTGAAAGAATATCGTAAACAAACTAAGTGGTTTTTTTAAATTTCAACATTTTCTTTATTTTATAATTTTTTTAAATACCTGATTATGAATATCTCGTTGAGTTTCTATTTTTGTTTCTTCAGACAATTGATCAACTTTATGTATAAATACTTCATATCTTAATCTTGGATTTACACGTCTACCTATTTGAATAATCATAATTAAACTTGATACTGATTGTGTATAATCATCTTGAGCATCAATTATATATACAACAGCATTACAACGTTTTAATAAACGTTCCATATCATAACCACCACCAACAAGATGTATTGTGTCATC